CTACTAAAATCCTTACCGCTTTCTCAAATTGAGCAGATCTCAGATGCCTGTCTGTGTAACGTCACACAGACAGCCCCCTCCCACGACAGTTTGATTGACAGTAGCGTTTCAGCACAGACTGGACTGGCGTCTTACCTTAGACCCGCCTGAGTGAGCTGTCATCAGTCCGCCATTGTTTCACTGCCGGAGCAGATGTAGACAAGAATGACTCCTAAGCGATTGAGGTGTTCTGTTATTGGATGCAATAATGAACATAGCAGTCGTCATTTACTCCTGACATATGAGCCGCTGAAGACGCAGTAGATTACGTTTGTTTCTGAAGGGAATGCGCCCCCCGATCTACATAAATGCGTTTGTTCGCGCGAATCATTCGTGATCCAGCTTCACCTACAGTAGAAGTGAGTATAAGGGTTTTTAATTAATCTTTGCAAATCACCTTTCTTAATAATGTGCTAATTAGCAAGTTTCACGATGAATACAAAAAAGTAAACAGTCCATCAGAGAGCGTTAACTCATTAACATTTAAAGGAAAATGCTACAAAACGGCTTGCTCTGAAAAGAGGTGTTTTTTTACACTACCATTGAGAAATTTTAACCAAACTATGTTACAGACTTTTTATTAAGACCCTGAAGAATCATATCAACTTGTGGAAAATGGGCATCAGATGACCCCTTTAATAGAAGTTATAGAAACATCCTTACTTTACAGCATTTTTACACAAGTGCCACAAAAACTTTTCACAGTTCAGTTCTGCTTTGCAGGAAGGTTTCTTAAAGCATCTTGGAGATGTTGCCACAGTTCTTCTGGATTTAGTCTCTCTCAATTTTTTCAGATTCTTTGTGTCATTCCAGACGGACTGGATGATGGTGAGATCAGATCTCTGTGTGGAGCTCTGACTGTTGTCAGACTCCTTGTGCGCACAAAAATCTCACTGGATCATTACAATTAATGGCAAAATGAATGCTTGGAGATATAAACTGCTATGTCCTACTGACACATTACAGCAAAAGATAGAAAAATCTGGCTTATTCCAGGAAAGTCTGATGCCTATTATTAAACAGAATTTCCTCCAAAAACAGCTCAGGAAATGTGAGTAAAAAGTGTGCAGGTTCCGTGTGGGGCTAGTGATAACCTACACTTCCATCCTTCCTTAATGGATGTGACCTCGAGGTCACCTTGGTTACACTGGTTCTCTAGAATGCGAATTTCGTTGAAGTGTTGTATTAAAGTAATGATTGCCTCCTGCCGAGAAAAGGCCTTTATGATCTATTAATATTCAAGCGCTTACAGGTGGTTTGGCTGTAAAGCAAATATAAACATTCTCCTTCGTTACACTTGAATGTGGATCAAATGAACCGTGAGCACCTTTTTCCTCCTCCCACCTACTTTCCCCCCCCCCTCCCTTCCTCAAAGCTCTCAGTTTAATTGTGGATGTGGTTTCATAGCTAAGAGCGTTGAGTGCCTCTCCAAGCCAGCATGCCCACAGGACCAGTGTACCATGTTTAAAGCGCATATCCTAGGTACCAACGTGCCTAGATAAACAGTATCCCTGGCCGCACGACGCTGTGAGATGTGCTCGCAAGCCCTCTTTGGAATCCACAGCAGTCATCCCTGCAACCCAGATGAATGGAAACTGGAGACAGCATTACATCTGCCCGGCTCACCGCGAGACACTGCACAGTTAGGCCCCAATCTGCCACCCCATCCTCGACTACACACACACACACAAACACACACACACACACACACACACACACACACACACACACACAAACAAACAAACACAAGCCGCCTCCAGGTTGGGATCAAACAGCCCAGCTTTTAGAAGTTCTCACTTAGTCTGTAAAAGATTAACAAGTTATTGACTGAATTTTGACCCATGCCGGTCTCCTCCTCGCCTTAGTACTGTTATCTGATGGTTGGAGTGAGGGTGGCCTCTGGACTAAGTGAGTGTTGCTCGCTCCAGGCTTGAGTGGGCGGCTTTGATGTGAGATGTGCAACCCTGTGTGTGTGTGTGTGTTCCACAGCTTTCATAAACACCTCCACAAGTGCAGCATGACAGGAGAGGAGGCCGTCCAATGGACTCACAAAGGACCACAAACACGCACGCACGGTCGTGCTTTTACAACAAATGTGGGCAGCTACAAGGACAAAATGCTGTGATTGATGTTTATTTGTTCTTTTTTTTTCTTGCATGAAGTTCGTGTCTGCGGTATTAGAGCGCACCGATTCCCAGCGTCCGCCCTTTAAAAGTTTATCCACATGTTTATAATTGGAGATTTCCTCTTTTTCAAAGGTCTTAGGCGAGTGTTGTTCATTTGAAAGAGATACTTTTGTTTCAGTCCTGCGACTTTGCCAAGTTGGAGGCCTCTGCTTGTCAGGCTGCTGAGATCATCGGAGTTGGTCGGCGAGAATGCCTAAGACACTTCTGAAATAAAACATGGCTATGAGGAGGTTTAGCAGATGTTTTGTGTTTAAAGACTTGTTAAGGGGAGAACAACAAAACAATGAATGCAAGTATGAAGAATCACTCTACAGCTAGCGAATGTCAGTTTGTTTGAGGTGCCTTTTAGCGAGAAACAGCCAAATCTGCTTGAAAGGATATTCTGGGGTGTATTTTGCAGTTCATATGAATGCAGTCCGTTCTAACTTGCAGAAGTAAATGCTTTTGATGATGTACGATTTCAAACGTTTTGAAATATAAATTAACAAACCAAATAAATCTTTATTAACATGTATTTTGAAATGGGATTTTAGGGTGTTTTCAGACCTGTAGGTAATTTGTTTTGTTCCAAAATGTTGAGTAAAAAAAAGGTTGAGTAAATGATAACAATTTTTATTTTGGGTGAATTATCCCATTGTTCCTCCAAATATTTGATTACTGTAGGTATTATGTCATGTAGATGTGCGTTATTATTGTAGCTCGAGTACACAAAAAATAAATTACTCTTTTGCCTTGAGGATGAGGTGTTATAAATACGATGTCAAAAATTGCTTTAACATCTCAGGTTCCTGAAATTTTATGGCTGCTTACCAGCACAGAGAAGCTCTCTTTAATTTAACTTCCCACAGGCCAACCAAGTGACGCCTCTACGCGAGGGCCTGTATTTCAACAAGGCCGCAAAAGCCCCAGCACTCGGTTTCCATTCTCCACTGGCTTTTGGAGAACAGAGTGTACCATCAGCAAACTTGTGTCCCAACAAGCTGGCCAAGCCTCATCTGTCAAAGCCAGGGTGAGCGCGAGAGCGGCAGGGCGGCGGGGTGAGGTAGAGGAAGCTCCCAGATAAACATACCGCAGCGCCTAAACTCCTAATCACTCTGCGCTTCCGTTTGTAGCCTCTATAATTAGAAGGCACTCTCTTCCATGTATTCCCAGTTGACGCAAAAGCTTCTTGTGGCTTGGCACCTCATTTGGGGCGTGGGTTAGTTTATGGCCAGACCGTAGCTTGGTTTAGTCTTCTGATACAGCATAAATAGCTAACCGCTGTCTAATTCACTAGCCGACTCTGTTTTTCTTTTTCGTAAGCGCAATCTCAGCGTGACCCTTGCTTCGCTGCCGCAGCCCATCCCCTTTGCCTCCTGTCTTACCGCTCAATGAGATGGCAAAGCCACACCTAAAGCAGATGCTATTCCTAAGTGTGAAAACGAAAATAACGTGGGCAGAAATAGGACAAATGAGCTCATCTAGCATGGCCGCTGTTCTATTGTCATGTGTGCGGGAGTTCGTCTGATCTTCCAATAATAAACTTCTTTTTAGATTTGTCAGACCACCCAATAAATGCTCGCCACAAATTAAACCCCTCTGTGAACTCGGCATTAGAGATTCAGCATTGGAAAATCACTAATTATTGTCATCTTAAATTACAGCAGTGAGATCGAGAGCCAGCGGCTAAATCCATCTTAATCGTAGTGTTGGAGAAAGTTTCCAAAGCGGTAGTGACCAGACTTTCATGTGTGTGGAAAATAGCCTGTAGAGCTGTCACACTGTTTTTAGAAACCAGTTGTATGCGGGGTTGCGTTGCCATGAAGATTTGCTTCGGGGTTTTTTCTTGTGTGGTTTAGTAAGTGTGTTGTTTACAGTAAGAGCTTATACTTTCTGTAGTTTCACTAACTTCAAATAAAAGTGGGAAAATGAGAGGCCCTGTCATCAGAGGTTCCACTTGGGTTCTCCTGCGGTTGTATTTAAAACAGATCCACATATTCTCTGGCCCGGACAGCTGAGGGAAGATCTTGGCATGCAGTTAATTCTAGAACACAAATTGCAGTGGAACACGATTGCCCTTTACAACCATGTAAACGTGTCTCATTGAAATGCTCAGTACTTGATGGCAGTTTTTGTCTTGCAGGATGTTCTTCTCAGTTTAAGCTCAGAGTTGGTGCACTTAAATCAAGTAAATGTTCAAATGAAATTTATATATGTTTAGAGTGGCTATTCCTGACACTTTCATTGATAGATGAACGTGGAATAATCACTAGGCCACAATTCAGAAAGACTGAATCACTGGTCCGCAAATCCAAATAGTAAACCCCAAGAAAATTTAGCTAGTGCTGGGAAAATCCTAAAAACTTAAAAAGCATGGAGGATCATTTCTGTAGCCTCAGGAAGTGGGCAAACAATGCTGTATTGGTTGCTTTTCCATATTAATCACAGAATTTAGTGCAAATTAAGCAAACAAATTAATAAAAAATTATTAAATATTTTTTCCAGTTCCTGAGTCTGTAATTGTTTTATCCCACTTTCTATATCTAGTGTTATATATTTCATCATGCTGCTCCAAAAATGTAGATTTTTTTTATGTTCTAATGTTATCAGTGTAATAATTAGTTAATCTCAGAAAACATTGAGTGATAAATTAGTTGTCACTTTTTTAAAATAGTTTTGTTGCTCTAAATTAAACACATCCTGTGTCACCAATGATCTGGGAAATAGTTCTTTGTTTGGTAGTGCTAAGAAGGTGCACTATGGTGAAATAAATGACGCTCTTTTCTGATTCTACAGGTATGTTACTAGTGACTACAGACACCCTTGGCCACGACTTCCACGTTTTCCAAATCTTGACTCACCCATGGGCGTCTTCCCAGAGTGCAGTTCATCATCTATACACGCTTCATAGAGGAGAAACTGAGGCTAAGGTAATAATAATGATAATAATTCCTTACATTTATATAGCGCTTTTCTGGGCACTCAAAGCGCTTTACATAGAAGGGGGGAATCTCCTCAACCACCACCAGAACATATAAGAAGGTAAGAACATACGTGTATGCACAGATTTACATAAAAGCTTTTCCTTACTTTCAGCACTGTCCTATAGCATGCACATATGGTACAAACTCATAAACGTGTATCTTCCAAATGGAAGATGTATCAACGACAAAAAGAAACTGTCTTGCGTTCAAGTAATACATGGACAGTGTGGGATATTAATTCAAACTTCAAAGCTCCCCGTTCCATCCCTTGCTCACACGCACATGCCTATGTACACTCAGGCTATTTTCGGGGGAGTTATTGAGATGAAATATTGCCTTTCCGGACTCTTTTAATCATTAGCATAATCATTTAAAGTCTTTGTGGGCCACCCACAACTGTTTACGGTTGCCTGTGCTCGTATGGCTCTGGAAATGTGTTTTTCATCGTCAGTGCATCCCTGCATGTTATCTAAATAATGTCAAGAGACATAAGGCTTGGTACCACTGAGCTCCAGAAGAACACGGTACTGCTGTCTCGGCTTCTTTGTAGTATGTAGGGCAGTGTATGTTAGACAAAAAGTGTGGGTATGACCCATCTGATTGATCTTAAACATGACTATGAGATACATAACCCCTTGCTACTGTGGAATATGAATCGAATTGAATACTTTGTCATTGTACAATGTATGTACAACGGAATTCAAAGGTAAATGTATATGAGTGTAAATTGTCACAGTTCAAAATGTTTATTTTCTATTTATTTATTTTTACGTGTAGTCAGAGTCACAGCAACATGAATATTTTTGTACCTGGAGAAATTTTGCCCCCAGTACAAAACAAAATTATGTGGATCCATGTGAAATATTTGTGCTCTCAGCAGTTAGTCTTTGCTTATTCTAAAACTTCCTCCCCTGTGGCTCCCATGTTCAGTTTTCAACACTCTGGAATCCGTAGACCCGAAACTATTAGTGTTGCCAATATGTTTTCAATCACCTAGGCTGCAAAAAAAAGAGAAAAGTTGCTAAAAATACCTCAGACGGCTGGTGAGAGCTTAGATTGTGCTTCTGACTGGAGCTTTTACTCTTGCACCTTGGGGTCAAGATTGGGGCTTGTAACACCTATGATATCTTAGGCTATGAGGTCATGGACTAGAGGACATTCCCACTGGGACAATATAGTCGCGCTTGCGACTTTACACCACTCTCTCTTAAATCCCTGGAAATAGACTGTTGGCAGCACTGAATATAGGCTCCGTAATTTTCCCATTTCATCCCAGCTTTATAAATTACAAATCCAGAGCAACTAATGGTGTTATTTGAGACAGAATTGGTCCTGGATTTTGTCCAGTTAGCCAGATGTTTGTTGCATTTTAGTCCCACTTTAGTGTAGTAAGACATAGTTTATAATTTACAACTAGAACACAGTTACTGCTTACCTGGCAGGTTCAATTGCTTGGACAAGAACAGCAACATATCTATTCTTGTCACATGATTTGAAGGCCCAAATTTTATTTTCTTTTATTTATATAGTTATTCCTTGAGTTTTTATTTATTTATTTAATTAAATTTTAATATTATTTATTTATAAAAAAAAATCACTTCAATAGATATTCTATTTTTATTTTTACCGTTTTAGTAGTTTTAAAATATATATATTTTTATTTTATTTTGTTATTATTTTATTTTAATTTCCACTTTGTAATAGTTATCCTTTTTAATTTATTTTAATTTTACTAGTTGAATACTATTATTATTTTTTTACTTTTTACTTAAAGTCCCCATGAAATCAAAATTAAAGTTTTTTTGGGTGTTTGTATCAATATGTTAGTCTTAAGGTTATCGGGAACGATTCAAACAGTGTAAATATGCTTTCCATTGAGGAAAAAAAGAAGTCTGGTTTCGCGCCGTGTAACGCTAACCACCGCACCGCACACACACTCTGCTCCGGTCCAGAGACACGATAGCACGGAGCGGATCACATACGCGAGTCGGCGCAGACCACAAAATGGGGCTTTACGGAGCTCAGCGGCTCTGAACGGCTCTAGCCCAAGCTGTGATATAAATGAACGCTATTGGCTATTTTAAAAAGGGGCGGGGCTGCTTGATATGTCCCGCCCTGTCTTCCTGTTTCAGTTAAAATGACGTCAACACATAGAGTAACGCTGCTTCTTTCTAAGCATTTCAGGGGACCTTTAAGGCAGTGTATAGTGGTCTCAAAACATATTTGATCAAATATATTGATCATTCTTCTATCCATTTTATTTTTTAATTTATTTATATTAGTATTTTAGAGGATGGGTCAAATCCACATGCTTTTTTTGTATTTTATGTAACGTTACTCAGGTTGAATAGTTGAAGCGGACATCTAAGGACATGATCAGATCATTAGTGTCTGCCAAGCCTTGGTAATCTATCTGGGTGCTTTAAAGTTTAATTTACTTTTGCGATCTATTGGGTTATTGCACAAATCATTTTGGGAAATAACTGCAGTGATTTAGTTTTCCTCTCTCCTAAATGCTGTTTCATCCATTTAGCCTTGCAGCTGTTCCACCACAATATCTCCTTCAGTTGGCAAATTGTAAGGTTTTATTTGCTTAAGTAGAACTAATATTTATTCCGAAAGGGCCTAGACCCTTACTTACTCAGCCAGTGTCATGTTTGGATATGCACACAAACCTGATCTCTGCTCTAGTTCATAGACACACACTCGCAGTCACACTGACACATTCGATGTCTAAAAGCATGCCAGACATATTTCCCTCAATTTAAATCCTTCTTTACATGATAAATATTAACACTGCAGTGGAATAAAAACTGTTTCACCGTATGTTATTTGCCTTGGAGTGCCATGTAACTGTAGCACAGTCAAGTGTTATGTCTAAAACAGTGGTTTTCAATCCTGGTCTTGGGGACCCACCGCTCTGCACATTTTGTGTGTATCCCTTATTTACACACACCTGATTCAGATCATCAGTTCATTAGGAGAGAGCTCATGAACTCAGCTGAGTGTGTCAGATAAGAGAGACATACAAAATATGCAGAGCGGTGAGTCCCCAGGACCAGGATTGAAAACCACTGGTTCTAAAAGAAAGACTTGCCATTTTTAATTCCTATTGTGCTTATATTGGGTATAGAAAAGAATCACCCCCCTTTAAAATAATCACATTTTGTTGCTTTGCAGCCTGAAATGAAGACGGACAGTTTTTGTTTTATCCAGCTGTATTTATTAAGCCCATTAGAGTATATTTAGAGTTTTTTTTTTTTCTTCTTCCCCTTTTTTTTTTTTTTTTTTTTTTTTCGTTTTCACAATTTGCTTTGTCCCTTTACCCTTCAAGTGCACTCTGAGGTGGGTGGAAAAAGGTTGAATTGCAGGCTGGGTACTGGCACATGGGTGAAGTTCAAGTTCTTCTCGTTCTTGCTCCTTATATTGAAGGTATGATTACCTTACCCGACACCTCCAGGCATGGCAGAGAGATGGAACCTAGTGTGTAAAACATTCTCATTTTCCCTCCTCTGTGAGCACAGGGCCGAGGAGGCCTGCAGCTCTGCCGAGATGAGAAAGGTGGTTAATCTGTCACTGGCTCATGCCAGGTTTGCTGCCTGGCCATGCATTGGCTTTGATCTGGCATTGTAAACAACGCAAACTGCAGAAAGCAAGCACCCTCCAAGACGCATTATCTTGAGCAGAACAAATAAAAGGAGTGATAATGCCTCGTGGGCGGACGCAGGCACCCGGCCTTATCTGGCTGGCTGATTGACGGTGCTTGTACTGACTCCCAGCCTGCTCCGGACTGACCTTAGTGTGCATGAAGGTAAATAACCCATCAGGCTGTGTTGCCTGAAGCCATACACCGTTTTAGCTGTTCTGAGCAGCACATGACTGACCAAACAGCTCATTTGATTTGTGTCTGATTAACTAATTTAAAGATCTCAGTCCTTGTCTTTGGTCACCTAAATCTTATTTTTATACCTCCAGGTGAGGTATCATCCCTGAACAGGACATGGTCATTGATCTTGATTCATTTGCTCATCTCTGGGTTGCTGTATTCAGCATGAGACTGATCTGAGACAGATAGAGCAGAATGACCTAGAATCAGACAGATCTCCAGACAGCTGCATTCCAGTAGCTGATGGCTATCCATAAAAAAGTGCTGTAAAAAAGCCATTAGCTGAACCTTGCTGATGGCAGTGTGCTGTATGGTAAAGCCAAGTGTAAGATTTCTGGACCGTGTCTTGGGAGGAAGGTTTGCCATCAATTCATAGAGCTACATTTATTCACACAGGGTGCGTTCTTGTGGTCAGAAACAGCTAGAATAGGATTTCAAGACGCTGTCTTATAAAACTATACTCTTGACGCAAGATGCTGAAATAACAGGAGGGATTCAACAGCCATCTGACACATGTTTACATAGACCAACAATTAAAAAATAGCGTAGACTGAATATACTGTAGGAGTGGTAAACACAAGAAGCACGGGACGCACTGTTGCAGTTTCATGGTTCGTCTGTTTTTAGATGTTTAATAAATACAAAATCCAGGTTACATATTCAGGTTTTTCGTGCCAGTAACCAAGATCTGGTGAGCAGTTCCGAAACCTCTTCATCCCGGCACCTAGGTGTGACTACCAACACTTCTTTCTCATTCCTTTCAAGCGTTTCACAGCACATTTTTTAGAGATTTTATCTGTCTTTGCCAGAAACTCTTTATGAAAACATAATCTTTCTCATGACTAACACCAGAGAAAATTCCAACAGAAGTCAGGTTGCATTCCTTAAAGTTGGCATGAAAAACAAAAACAAAAAAACAATGATCTTATTTTGAATGATTCATCCATGCATATGTTTAATTTTAATATATGTATTTTTTCTGACATAGTAATCTTTCAATTAAAATATAACTCTGGTGATGTGTGCCAGACTTCTCCAATATTTAAAAAAATATATTTTTTCGATAATCTGTTTAACTTGAATTTTTATCCCAATACATAAGAAGATCTGCTACCTCTGTTACATTGTGACTTTAAGCCAAATTTTCAAGGAAAGGCATTGCTGTATTGTTCATTATGTTCACTCAAGACCCTAAACTTAAAAAAACTTTCTGTAATGTTGATTTCATTCATTTTATTGATGATTGTTCATTTCCGAATCCTAACCAACTAAAATCTCAAAGCTGGTTGTGAGCTTCTTTCCTTTCTCTTCTCTTACCACTCTAGGTGCAGGACATCTGCTTCAGCCATGACTGCCGCTGGGTGGTGATTAGTACTCTTCGAGGTACATCTCATGTCTTTCCCATCAATCCGTACGGTGGAGCGCCATGTGCACGCACACACGTGTCTCCACGTGTGGTGAATCGCATGAGCCGTTTCCAGAAGAGTGCCGGACTAGAGGAGATCGAGCAAGAGCTGAGCAGCAAACAGGGCGGCCGTTGTAGCCCTATTCCTGGCCTTTCTAGTAGCCCATCTGGATCACCACTACATGGTTAGCAAATACCTTTTTGTTTTTTGGAAACATTATACACCTCTTGCACGTCTGCAATACTTCGTAAGTTAGTAACGCTAGTTCTTCTGGTCCAAAACCTAGTTAGATGGTAAAATTATCAATTTTTAATTACCCTGAACTATATTGTTTGGTAACATATTGAATTAAATAGAAATGTCAATATTTAATTATTTACATTTATCGTGTATTTACATTTCTTGTCCACAATCTTGAATTCATTTTCATTGAGCTCATAGGAAGCTTACTAGAATTTGAAACGGAGCAAGTAGATCCTGGCCATTCAGGGGTTAATCGAATCACCCTAGAAGACCTTGGGATTGAGCCTGTTGCCCTCTGTCATAACACTGTGATGTTTGTCAAACACTGTCTCTGGCTGCAAACACACTCACACTGACCACGTCTGACCGTTACGTACATACACACCCACCCACCCACCCGCACACACACTTCTCATCTCTGTGCTGATTGCCACAGGAGCTGGCATGCCTGTCAGTGTTGTTTGCCCATCAGCACTCCCCACTCCACAAAACAGAGGTCTGATTAATCAATACCCCCGTGCTCGCCGAAAGCACCCCGCTGATACGGACACTGTAGACTCCAGTCAGCTGCGGGGTGTTTGCAGAGCTTCCCAAAGGGTTCAAGAGAGCCTCTCTTACTCTGTTGCCCAAAGTCACATATCAAATGACACCATACTGACACTTCAAAAAATAGTTTACTGAATTGCTTAAAATAAATATAAATCAGCAAATGTAAACAATATTTATTTATTTATCAAATAAAAATCGGTAACACTTTAGAATAGGGAACACATATTCACTAACTAAGAGTTTTCCCTGAACAAACTCCTAATATGCTGCTTATAAATAGTCAGTATTGGTTAAGTTTAGGTATGGGGTGTGTTAAGGAATCTAAAATACGGTCATGCAGAACAAGGCATTAATATGTGCTTTATAAGTACTAATAAACAGCCAATATGCTAGCAATATGCATGCTAATAAGCATCTAATTAATAGTGAGAATTGGTTCTTAAAATAATGTTACCTAAAAATCTAATTAAAATCAAAATAATCTGGCTATTGCATTGCGTCTTGCTGATTTTCAGCATCACATCACATTTTTCAAGTTAAAATTTAAACTTTATGGACTATATAAATATAATTCCATCCATCCATCCATCCATCCATCCATCCATCCATCCATCCATCCATCCATCCATCCATCCATCCATCCATCCATCCATCCATCCATCCATCCATCCATCCATCCATCCATCCATCCATCCATCCATCCATCCATCCACCCATCCATCCATCCATCCATCCATCCACCCATCCATCCATCCATCCATCCATCCACCCATCCATCCATCCATCCATCCATCCACCCATCCATCCATCCATCCATCCATCCACCCATCCATCCATCCATCCATCCATCCACCCATCCATCCATCCATCCATCCATCCACCCATCCATCCATCCATCCATCCATCCACCCATCCATCAATTTATAGTACTCCACATTTTTAAAGTTAAAATGTAAACTTTATATATATATATTATAATCTTAATTAATTTGAGTGACTTTTGACTGTCTCAAAGAAAATATGAAAAACTTTTTTCACTTTGATTCGAGCAACGCTGTGACATCACAGGGCCGGAATGTTTGGCGTCCCGTGTAGGGATGGTTACTAGCAGCCGTGAAAGTGGGCCTCAGAAGCCCTGCTGTAAATCAGACTCATTTTTTAAAGCCGGGCATTAGAAGCACCTGTCAACAATTAGTCCTGTCAGCTTCAGCCCGATGAGACACTTTGACAACAGGGTTCTGAGGTGACATTTTTTTGTACTGGGAACAGGATGGGGGAGTCTAAGAAACAGAAGTCTGAGGCCGTTCTTATGCCTTAGAGGCAAACCTTGGACTGTCCAGATTTTATTACCTCAAGGATCATTCCATAATTCCTTAAGCCAAAAGATGGGAGGATAGCAGGATGTGGCTTTTGAATTAAGATGAAACGGTGTGGGGAAGAAAGGGAGACAAAATGGTCTGCACTTTTCCATGGTCCCTGTGGGCCTCTCCTATGGGCTCATACGTGACGCTGGAATGCTTGAGCCACCCACATATCCTGTCGAGATGTTTGCTTTATTTTCAAACCAGTCATTCAGTTTTTCTTTTTTGTTCTCTTAATGTTTTTTTTTACATATATTTCAGTGTATTAAAAATTACACATTGATCTTCTTCACACTTTTAACATTCCGGAGATTTGATAATAAAAGTTTAGTTTTGCTAATGACACATTTGTTTAATGGACTGAATTGCAGTGAAATTATTTCTTAATAATTTTTTAATTAATTGCTGTTTCATACATTTGCAATTGACTGCATTTATTTGATCAAAACTACAGCAAAAACTGTAATATTGTGGAATATTATTACAATTTAAAACAACTGTTTCTATTTCAACATATTTTAAAATGTAATTTATTCCTGTGATGGTAAAGCTGAATTTTCATCAGTAATTACTCCAGTCTTCAGTGTCACATGAAGCTTCATAAATAATTATAATATGCTGATTTGGTGCTCAAGAAACATTTATTATTATTATTATTATCAATGTTGAAAACAGTTGTGCTGCTTAATTTTTTTGTGTAAAGCATGAAGCAGAATTTTTTTTTCTTTTATGAATAGAAAGTTCAAAAGAATAGCATTTATTTAAAATAGTAATCTTTTGTAATGCAAGTGTTAACTGTCACCTTTGATTAATGATTCTTTGCTGAATAAAAGTATTTTAAAAAGTAAATAAAAGTAAATTTTGGCTAAAAAAAACTTCTGTACTTGTTAATTTGCTATACAGTGTAGTGACAACAGGATTTCTACAAATAAAAATAAAAAAACATTTTCCGCATTTTTCTTATCTCTCACTGCGTTTTACGTCATCGTAAAATCAGCAAAATTGTTTTTGTGGTTGTCACACTTTTAAATCCTTTTCCGCTATGATTAGTTATCAGACACAAAAAGAGAAAAAGCTATCAGCGTCACTTTCCGTATGCTTTTCCGTCGGTTTTGTTCATTTTTGGGTCCATGAGCGTGAACGGAGTCGGCAGAAATAACTGCTTGATAAGAAAAACTGCGGCGCAGTAGCCACAACAGTAGACTGGCAATTGTCTCCTGTGACAACTCATTGATTTAGGGAAGGAACTAGAGAAGTACACATCCTTCAGAGCTGGCACTCTGTAAAAATAGAAACCACAATCGGGCTTTCTTCTCCCCCAGTTTAATTGTGGAGTTTTTTTCAATCTATTTTAGGAGCCACATCCCCCTCGCCTTAGGTTCATGGCATTGTTAGATAATTCAACAAGTTCTTCTTTGTCAGTGCTAACAGACAGTTAATTCATTAGTTTAGGTGCTGGTTTCTGCTTAGTTGTTTTGTCTGTTTGCCTTTTCTACCTATAACTGAACAAATGCCAAAGGAAAATGCTTTTTGAAGCTTAACTGTTGTTGTATGGTTTCCATTCACGGGAATGTTTAGGGCACATGTGTCGGCCATGCGCTCTGTGTCGGCCATGCACGAGGATGTGAGGAGTGCGATGGAAAGAGCTGTCTGGACTGAGGTGGTCACCATTAGCTTTGCGCTTACAGGAAATTCAGTGTTGGTTTGACACAACTTGGTGGTCTCCTTCTTTGTATATGTTCATTGACTATTTTGAAAGGAAAAATAAGGTGCAACAGGAAGCTGTTAATTTGCTGTTATTAAGTTAGGGATAACGGGATACTTCCTTTGAGCCATTTAATGTCAGCATACGGCTTGTTTGGGTTTCAGGCTTGTTTTATCAGTAACTATGCCTGTTTACACCATTCATCATCTTAAAGCAAAAACAGGCAGACATGGATGCTTTTGCAAAACCGATGACACAATGTTGTTTGGAGCAAACTGTTTTAAAAAGCTCAACACTGTGGTTATTAAGTCACAGATCATATCTAAATGGCATTCATTTAACTCGGCATGTTAAATGAATGCCATGTAATGGCATGTTATTTTTTCACGCACATTTTATATGTTTTTTTTTTCAGCAAGGATGCATTAAATTGATCAAAAGTGACATTTATAATGTTTCAAAAATTTCCATTTCAAATAAATGCTGTTCTTTTGAACTTTACTTTCATCAAGGTATCATAGAAAAAAAATGTATCACTGTTTCCACAAAAATATTAGGGATATTAAAATGATTTCTGAAGGATCATGTGACACTGAAGACTGGCGTAATAATGGCTGCTGAAAATTCAGTTTTGCCATGACAAGAATAAAACACTACATTTTAACATTAAAATGTATTAAAATACAAAACAGTTACTTTAAATTAGGGTTGCGAAGGGGTGGAACATTTCCAGTAAATTTCCGGAAACTTTCCAAAAATCCCTGGAATATTCCAAAAAAATCCTGGAATGTTTCAGAAATTTACTGGAAGTTTTCCACCTTTTTGCAACCCTACTTTAAATTGCAATAATATTTCCACAATATTACTGTTTTACTGTACTTTTGAATAAACACAGTATGATTTTTTCAAAAAAGAAATGCACCCTTGGTGAAAATAACATATACAGTTTCTTGAATATTTAAAAAATATTTACAGAAAAAAATGTATTAAATTATCTAACTTTTCCACTCAAATGTTATAATTTAATTTGCAGTAAAAGATAGTTTTCCACTAGTGGTCTCAGACTTTTGGAGAAGGTACAAAAACCGTCGGGGGGGGGTATTGTGTGTATTGATTTGTTAGTTTATTCGAGTTTAAGATTTGTACTTGACCTGTGTTGATTTGTATATTTATTTGAGTTTAATGCAGGTTTTTTTTTCTTTTTCTCACTCTTTCGCTCTCTCATTCTCTCTCCCTCTCAGTTTTTTTTGTGGGAGTGTACCTGCATATTGAATGTGTCTAATTAGAATGATCACCTGTTACCTATAAAGAGTTGTACAGTTCACG